CACCAGCCGTCACTCAGCACAGGAAGAACTGATGTGTCAACCAATTGGATCCTTCCTCATCCGAGGCTCCCAGAGTTCACGGGGAGAATTCTCCATTTCAGTCAGGTACAGCACACACACACACACACTGCTCTCAATGTTTTACAATACATTCCATAGACGTAATGGTTTTTATATGGTTTTCATAACGGTGTTTCTGCCGTCAGACATGAGAATGACGTGCAGCACTTTAAGGTGATGAGAGACCGGCACGGTCAGTATTACCTGTGGAGCGAGACCTTCAGCTCCCTCAACAGACTGGTGGAGTTCTACACACACAACTCCATCTCCAAACAGAGCCGCGTCTACCTGCTCACAGAGCAGCGGGTGAGTCCAGCCACGCATGATAAACGCACAGCAAACACTTGAAACACATTGCTCGCCTCACATTGTCTTCAGAACACACTCAGTGCTTGTGTTTCTTACTGTTTGGTCTCTTTCTCTCACCCAGAATCCACCTGATTTCCCGCACAGGAGGTCTGCTGAGCCGCCGCCCATCTCTCAGGTACAGCCGCTGTCACTCCTGTGACGTCAGTCAGTCATCTGATGAGCTTCATGTGTCAAATTATGCTTTCCTTCTGCAGGAGAGACACAGTTACAGAACACCAGCTCCAGCCTATCCTCGCCCAGCCGATCCCTCACCTCCACCACCACCACAGGTCACACACACACACACACACACACGTGCACACGCACACACGCACACACACACACACACACACACACACACACACACTCACTCACTCACACACACACTCACACGTTGTGTTTCCTTGTTTTATGGGGACTCTCCATAGGCGTAATGGTTTTTATACTGTACAGACCGTATATTCTATTGCCCTACACCAACCCTACCCCTAAACCTACCCCTCACAGGAGACTTTCTGCATTTTTAGATTTTTTAAAAACTTCATTCTGTATGATTTATAATCTTGTTTCCTCATGAGGACCTAAAAATGTCCTGGTATTACTATCCTTGTGGGGATAATTGGTCCCCATCACATAGCGAATACCAGGTACACACACACACACACACACACATGTGACATCAGGTCATGTTATGCACATAGTATGTCGAGGACCTAAAAATGTCCTGGTATTACTATCCTTGTGGGGATAATTGGTCCCCATCACATAGCGAATACCAGGTACACACACACACACACACACACACACACACACATGTGACATCAGGTCATGTTATGCACATAGTATGTACAAATAATGCATAAGCTTTAGAACACTGAATGAGCTGGTTCTGTTTGTTTGTATGCGCAGGCGTCTGCGCTGCAGGTTCGAGCCATGTATGACTTCACTGCGCAGGACGCAGATGAGCTGAACTTTCACGCTGGAGATGTTATCGAGGTTTTAGATCAGTCTGATCGTTTCTGGTGGAAAGGTGTTCTGCGCGGGAGAACCGGACTCTTCCCCGTCAACTACACCAATCCTGCCTGAGGAGCCGTGACACAGACGTTTGCCTCAAAATCATTTCACCTTGTGATGTTGCATAATAATGATTTATGAATACATTTATATTACAGTTTTTTTTCAACTGCTTACTCACGAAATCTTTCCTTGTCACACAATTTCTGAAAGCTGACACTCAAACAGCAGAAGCACACACCAAATCTGCAAAATCATACTCTAATTCGGACTTTGACTCAGTTTTCAATTTCAAAACACTTTTTGCAAAACACACAGTTCTCTATGTAACACACACACATCTAACAGGAATTAAGCTGTTTGCAAATGTTTGCTTTTGAGATGTGTTTGTGATATTTTCGCAAGAGATGCGAGGCATTTTGCATTTTGTGTGTGCAATTCTTAGATTTGTGTGTAAAGTTTTGAAAAGAAAGAGGCAAAGTTTTGAAAATGTGTGTAAGCAGTTGAAAAAAACTCAAAATTTCTGAATTTAAGAAGCACCTTTTCCCCTTGTCATGTGTGCAGAGCACACACACACACACACACACACACACACACCTGTAAGGCATTGCTCTTCCTATTTTTTACAGAGATTTGGAATTTGCAAAACACACAGTTCTCTATGTAACACACACACATCTAACAGGAATTAAGCTGTTTGCAAATGTTTGCTTTTGAGATGTGTTTGTGATATTTTCGCAAGAGATGCGAGGCATTTTGCATTTTGTGTGTGCAATTCTTAGATTTGTGTGTAAAGTTTTGAAAAGAAAGAGGCAAAGTTTTGAAAATGTGTGTAAGCAGTTGAAAAAAACGAACATTTCTGAATTTAAGAAGCACCTTTTCCCCTTGTCATGTGTGCAGAACACACACACACACACACACACACACCTGTAAGGCATTGCTCTTCCTATTTTTTACAGAGATTTGGAAAAATTGTGTGCTTAGTTTAAGCACTTTTACAAACATGTTTATGAATCTTTCAGAATTGTTATGGTCCTCTGCGTTTGGACTGTATGAAATGTTCCTGAGATGTGATCTTCATCCAAGTATTAAATAAATACATCCATATATAATAATAGCCCATACAACTGAGTCTTGATGTTATTACAGTTAATGAATGGTTCGGTCACAACTTTGAAAAACATCAGAATTCTCTTTCTTAGTGCATGTTTAACCAAAAAATATCTTGAAAATATTTCATAAAGTATCTGGCTGGTCTGTGTGGCTTACTTTTCACCATCAGTTCCACTCTGTCTAGTCAATTCTGAGCCCCAACCTACTTTTTCCTCATTTAAAGGAATAGTTCACCTATAAATAGCAATGTGCTGAGAATGCTCACTCTCAGGCAGGCCTGGCGCTGCGGGGGAGCAAAGGGGGGCATGCAATAAACAAGTGGAACATTTACACACAAAAGAAAAGATAGGCCACCTACATTATTCTCACTTTGCTAGCATTACTGTCATTATTCTTAAAAGTAATGTAAATTATGTTTGCAACAGCTGTAGGTTTTTGGAGTGGTCTTGACGCCCAGCCTGGCTGGAATTTTATCCCAGAACGGCATTAAATAATTTGTGAATATTTGTAAACATTTGTGGCTTGAAACAGCTGGAAAATTGAAAATGTACTGCATTTCTATGGATGTTTTGCCATTCAGGTAGGGTTATTAAAGTTAACTAAAACTAGCAAAAACATTTCTGTTAATTAAAATAAAGCTGAAATAAAACAACATAGTCCTAAAAGCAATTCTATGAACGGAGAAAAACGGAATAAAATCACATATATAAAGTTAACAAAGCACAATGTTTTTAAGGGTTCCAGCGCAAATAATTATTATTATTACTTTACATACTATATGCATGTGTAAAACATTGTGTGATGTATGAGCTGTAAAACACAATAGCGCCACCTAGTGGCCGATTTCTTTCACATTTCTCACATACCTCTAGGGCCAAGTGTCTTGGTTTTGACAACTTTTCTGCATAGGTTTGATTCCAATTTTTTATTTATTATTATTGCATTTTATTTTGATTATTTCTTTCTTTTTATTTAATGCATGTGTAAAACATTGTGTGATGTATGAGCTGTAAAACACAATAGCGCCACCTAGTGGCCGATTTCGTTCACATTTCTCTGCATAGGTTTGGTTCCAATTTTTTATTTATTATTATTGCATTTTATTTTGATTATTTCTTTCTTTTTATTTGCAATTTTACATCAGGTATTTTTTTAACCATGCAGCCAACGTCAAGAGTAATATGTGTTAACATAGCACTTAGTGATTTACGGTGTTCAGAGGCAAGAAACCAGCAAAATAATGTGAAGCTTTATGTGGAAACACAGCTATCACAAGGTCTGATTTTTCACTACACGTTTATTGTGGCCAGAAGGATTCATGATGATGATATGTCGGGATAATTATAAGAATCTTGAGGGATATCATTATTTGTTTTTTCCCGTCACTACGTAATACAGCATTACAGTAAAACAATATATGAGAATGAAAACATATTTTTACTCCAAACTTGCATTATAGCATCAGTCGAGTGCATGAAATCACAGAGTTTCTTATCATAGAATGAGGCAGAAAATATATTATTTTACAGTATACAGTGGAGCTCTGTTTCTGAACTCGAGTCATTTTAAAAACTTGAAGTAAACAAACACTCACAATAGGACAGTGTCTCCAGTTTCAGATCAGAGAGTACCTTCACTCCTGAATCTCTTAGTTTATTCTCAGACAGATGCAGGTGTCTCAGGTGTGAGGGGTCTGAACTCAGAGCTGAAGCCAGAGCAGCACAACCTTCATCTGTGACGCCACACTCCAGATCAGAGAGTACCTTCACTCCTGAATCTCTTAGTTTATTCTCAGACAGATGCAGGTGTCTCAGGTGTGAGGGGTCTGATCTCAGAGCTGAAGCCAGAGCAGCACAACCTTCATCTGTGACGCCACACTTACTCAACCTGTAGAGAACTACGACACGGTTTGAAGTGAGTGTAGTTTGTGATTGTCTCTGGTCTCAGAGCAGGAGAGGAGATATAATGATAGTTTAATGTTGGTCTGGTCTGAATAAGTAAGGAAACAGCTGAAAGAATGACACTGATCCACAGTTCAACTCGAATAGCCTATTAAAGAGCCTTCACTGGTTTCTAGAACGCACATATTTAATACTTAATTTCTATTTTAATCATTTTTATTTATGTTTTGTTACAGCTCCAACTGTCTAAACCACTTACAATTAACCAGTGGTAAAAAAAAAGACTCAAATTCAAAAAAGTGTCCTATCCTAACAAACCATACATCAGTGGAAAGATTATTTATTATCTAGGCTATGTATAAATCTCAATTAAAAAAATAAAATTTAATAAAAGCCCCTTATGACTGGTTTTGTGGTCCAGGGTCACATGTGATATATTTAGAAACATGAATGGGAAATTATAATAAGTCATAGACTATATAATATGCACATTAGGACGTTCTTGTTTTTTGGAATGAAGTTCAACCCTCCTGTTGGAGTCATGCAGAAACAAAGTTCCCCTTCCAACGCATTTCGTGTGAACTCCGCCCACGCAGAAACACACCTGGCCGCGGGCTCGCGACGAGCTCAGGTGAGCGCAGGTGAGGCATTCGGAGCGCGTGAGGCGAGGTAGCGGCGCGTCATGGCGGAGTCGCAGCTCTTGTGTATGGAGGACGGGCTCATGCCCCTCGCGGTGCCCGAGTCCCGGCCGCAGTTCTACTACAGCGAGCAGCAGCGGGCGGCCCTGGAGCTCCTGATCACCGACGGAGACGGAGCCTTCAAGACCCTCCTGAAGGACGAGAACAGCCAAGACTTCCTGTCGGCGCGGGAAATCAAGGCCATCGCCGGCAGCTTCGTCAAATACAAGCCCGAGGAAGACGCTGGAGGAGCGTCAGCGGGTCAAGACAAGCGTGACGACGCCGGGTCCATGCGCTCCACGTACTGGCCGCAGATGTCGGACACCGAGGTCCCGCCGCTGGACATCGGCTGGCCCTCATCCGGGCTCTTCAAAGGGGTCACCCGGGTGTCGGTGCACACACACCCCCCCAAAGAGAACAGCCCGCACATCAAGGAGGTGGCCCGCAAACTCATACAGGAGTCCTGCAAGGTCAGTATTCACTATTACATTAGGCACGTTTAGGTAGATTAAGGGTCTGAGAGTAACGCAATTTCAATTCTCTGTGTGTATGTGCTGTACATGTGGAAGAATTGACAATAAAGCAGACTTCTATACTTCTTCTTCTTCTATACTTCTATATTATATTTATTTATCATTTAATTGTAGTGTACTAACATACGCTGAAAAAAATGATACTCAATTGTAAAGCTAAGTGGTTGCAAACATTTTGTTTTAGCTACATTTAAAAAAAAAAAGTTGAAAGTTAGTCAACTAAACGTGTTTACTTAAATGTAGCTCAAATAAATTGATTGCATCCACTTACCTTAAAAAATGTGGTAAATGCGATGAATCATTTTTGGTTTCAGTGTATGGTTACTGTGATAAACATTTATAGAGGGGAATCTTTTCCTTTATCATCGTAATGCTTCTTCAGTTTCATTTTCTCTTCTCTTGTGATCATTATCAGATCATGACACTCCTTACATGTCAGGTATCTGAAGATGTGCCTCATGTGGTTACCATCTCAATTAACTGGTTTATAAAAACAAAAAAAAATCCCTTAAATGTACTGTGAAACTGGCAGTAGCTGTGGTTGCCAGAACTTTAGCATAAAAATTGGTAGCATTGGTAGAAAATGAGTCAAATTTCATTAACTGAAATAAGGTTACTGTACCAGATTACTGAAATCTGTTTTTATATTTACACTGTAAAAAAACACAAATGTACTGGTTATTTTCTGCCAGGACATTTTACTGACATTTCTGTTAACCCTAGTTAAACCCTCATGTGCACAACTAATCAGAACAAAACTAAGAATAAACAGTCATTTCAATGTAAAACCATCAACTGTGAGCCGTCACACAGGAACCTGGAAATATCAACTTTTATCTGTAAATTATTAAGATGACTTGTTTGTTTCCACATTTAAAAACTTGTAAGACACATGTCACATACAGCACTGGGACATGTTTATATAGGAGGATTCCTCTGGCCCAATGAGGATAGACTATAGCCTACAGGACCTGAGTGAGGCCCTCACGTCACAGGTCTCTCTGTTTCTCATCTGCTGCAGTGCTGGATGCTTTAAGATCTTGTTCAGACTTGATCAGGTGGTCTGTTTCTTCAGCCTCCAGTTCCTGACTCACTCGACATGTAGCTGGAAACTTTCCAAAACATCTGTCATGTGAAAGAAGCTGGAAGTGTGTGTAATAATGTGCTGAGCTGATCCGTGTGTCATGAACATCATCTCACAAATCATCCTCGTTGTCTGTATGCAAATCTCTTGTTTTTATATACGGGAAAAGCTGTCTCAGCACAGCAGGCCGGTCTCGCCGGATTCCAGAGCCAGTTTCTGCTTTACAGCAGCAGAATAAACTATAACGTGCTCTCATTTACTCCTGCTGGATTTATTGAGGCTTTACAAACTAAACAAAGATGTCAGCTGGAAGCTCAGAAACAGAAAGAGAGTTTGAAAAAGTGAAAGCTGCATAAAACACATCTCTATGGGTGTAAATCAGCATAAAGAAGAGTCATTCTTCTGGAAACCTCTGATTGTGCAGTGTGGACATGAAATATATCATATTATTAAGAAGTCATATGTTGCTTTGTGTGAGGAACAGACCCAGATCTAAGTCACTATTCACTAAAAATCTCAAGTTTCATTTGCATTCAGATTAAGCACGCATTGTGAGATGTTCAGTGATCTACAGCAATGATCTCCAAGAACAGAACCACAAACAGCACTGAAATGCTTTGACAAACACATTTTCTTTCCTGTATTGACACATTCTCTGTTGAAACAGAAGGCAAGGACGGGAAATATTGAAGAGTTTTAAAAAAATGACCAGCAGGCTTCAGTTCCATCAGATGAATCATGATTTATGTTTGATGTATTAAATGTTAGTTTTGATTGATTCTATTGTTTTGTCCAGGTCGTGGCTATCGTGATGGACCTGCTGACCGATCTGCAGATTCTGCGGGATCTGTTTGAGGCGTCCAAGCGCGGCGTGCCCGTCTACATTGTTCTGGACGAGCAGGGAGCGCCGCACTTTCTGGACATGTGCAGCCGAATGCAGGTCGGAGCTACAGAGCTGAAGGTACACAACTAAACCAGAAAAACATGTCATTTCTTCAAACAAGATAAACATTAACTGAAATAAACAAAACATTTTACTAAAATGGAGAAAGCAAGGACGGGAAATATTGAAGAGTTTAAAAAAAAATGACCAGCAGGCTTCAGTTCCATCAGATGAATCATGATTTATGTTTGATGTATTAAATGTTAGTTTTGATTGATTCTATTGTTTTGTCCAGGTCGTGGCTATCGTGATGGACCTGCTGACCGATCTGCAGATTCTGCGGGATCTGTTTGAGGCGTCCAAGCGCGGCGTGCCCGTCTATATTGTTCTGGACGAGCAGGGAGCGCCGCACTTTCTGGACATGTGCAGCCGAATGCAGGTCGGAGCTACAGAGCTGAAGGTACACAACTAAACCAGAAAAACATGTCATTTCTTCAAACAAGATAAACATTAACTGAAATAAACAAAACATTTTACTAAAATATAACAAATATAGACATAATAAAATAATGGCAAAATTACTAAAGCTTTAACTAAAATGAAAATGAAAATAGCAATATAAATATATAAAATGTACTTCGTAAGCTTCGTAAGGTTTACTGGCGTCGATGGTTTCATGAAGAACATCCATGGAATCTTTCCACTCTACAAAAAGTTTCTTTATAGTGCAAAGAAAAGTTTTTTAGATTACTAAAATGTTCTTTTAAGAACTGATCACTTGGCATTTAAAAATGTACTTCGAGCCAAGAAAATACATTCACACGTCACATTTGAAGAAAAACTTGTCTATAGCATGTGTGAACATGTAACACATTTGCATAAAATTCAGCAAGGAATGTGCTTTAATGTTAACACAACATAAATATCACTGTTCATCAATCTGCACTGCCTACAAAACCAGCACTGGATCTGCACCCCTTTACCTAAATTCATTACTTCAGAGTTATGTGCCTCTAGAAGCTTGCGTTCTGCAAGTGAACGGCGCTTTATTGTTCATCCCAAAGAGGCAAAAAATCACTTTCACAGACTTTTACATTAAATGTTCCCTCCTGGTGGAATGACCTAAAACACATCTGTTCCATCTTTATTTGACCCTCTAACTCTAGCACTCTCTATTCTAACATTTTATCTATTTGTTTTCTTTTTTGTTAAAAAAAAGGCCTCTAACACTAGCTCTCTCTGTTCATTTTCTATTTTATCTACTTGTTTTCTATTTATTTACTATATAAAAAAATAAATTTAAAAAACTTGCTACATGTACTGCGTTAGACTAACCGAGACTTGTCACAGCACTTGCTTATTATTGCTCTTTTGTTGGTTTTGATTGCTTCTATTTTCATAATAAAAAAGGCCTCTAACACTAGCTCTCTCTGTTCATTTTCTATTTTATCTACTTGTTTTCTATTTATTTACTATATAAAAAATAAATTTAAAAAACTTGCTACATGTACTGCGTTAGACTAACCGAGACTTGTCACAGCACTTGCTTATTATTGCTCTTTTGTTGGTTTTGATTGCTTCTATTTTCATAATTTGAATGAAAGCGTCTGCTAAATGACTAAATGTAAATGTATATTTAACTTCTATTAAAATATTAAAAAATATATATTTTTTAATATTTAAAACTATTAAAATATATTTCAAATTATTATTTTATTTTAATTTTTTAATATTTTGGCCACAAAAAAAATAGTTTTGCCATATGGGTCTAGTCAAAACCCGGCCACTTAGACATTAGCTATAATTTCAGCTAATTTCGATTTCCGATGTTTAATGGTTTGTGTTTCCGTCAGAACGTCCGGACTCGGACCGTAAAGGGAATCGGGTTGAATCTGTCCGTGGGGAGAATCCCGGGAAACGTCCACAGCAAGTACATGCTCATCGACGGAGATAAAGTCATGTTTGGAACGTACAGGTGAGCGAGTGTTACCTGCTTACAGTCTGACAGACGCATCTTCATATCTCATGCTGTGTTTGTGTCTCTGCAGTTTCTCCTGGAGCTCTTCTCGAATGGACAGAAACATGATCACGGTGATGTCGGGGCAGGTGGTGGATTTCTACGATAACGATTTCCGACAACTGTACGCCATCTCAGACAAACTGGACCTCTTTAAGGAGTTTCACATCAGTAAGCCCCAAACGGGAACGCTGTCTCGGGCCGCGGTGCCCAAACGCCCCGCAGCGGCCACTTCTCGCTTCCAGGTCAATCTCGGAGACGCGACGCATGGAGATCTGAAAGTGCCGGCACACAAATACCACAATCCCAAATACCTGCTAGCGCTCGGACAGATCCCGGGACGCACGGAGACGCTGCAGGACTTCTTCAGTAAGATGGAGCCGCCCGAGCCGGAGCCGGAGCCGGAGAATCCCACGGAAGAGCTGGAGAACCTCACACCTGTTCCCTCTCAGCCCGAGAAGAAAGAGTCCAAGAAACTCAAGACACTACCTTTTAACACAAAGCGGTGGAAGAAAGGGAAGAAGGACCAGACGAGTGACGAGGTTATTGAAGAAAACACTGCGGACCCTTCAGACGACGCGTCTAAACACACGCTCACCAGAGACGAGACGCAGGACAGCCTCAAAAAGAAGAAGAGAGGACTCATGAGCTTTTTCAGAAGAAGCTGAATGAGGATTGTTTTAATTATACCCGCTGTTTTTAACTCCTGAAGACTGTTAAACCTCATGTTCACAGAACGCGTGACTCCTGCTGTGTTCCTGAGTGTGTTTGTGATGTGATCGGTGTGAAACTCGAACGCTTCTCAGCTCTGTGTGCACATGTTTGATAGTGATAGTAAAACCTTCTAATGATGTACGAGGCTTGGTAAGGAAACCAAGTAATGTCTAAATTACATTAAAGGGGAAGTTTAGGGGTAAAACTGTGTTTCTGACATCTATCAAAACGGTGCATAAAGAGGATGGGTGCACTTTTATTTTACAGTACATGTACTTGCATAAGAATGTACTGTAATGTACGGTAACTATATGGTTAGGTTTTGGGGTTATTACCTAGTTATTGTAATTACTTAGTATGTACATGTGGAAGAGGACTGCACGATAAAGTGATACCTAGAGACTATATTTAAATTTAGACAGCTTTATTTGTGTACTGCTTTTCACATTTATCCCAGCTAACAGAAACATGTATTTCAAGGTTCTTTCAAAGTTATGAACAAATGTTAGAATGTTTGCTCAAAGTTATCTCCTCTTTAATAATGTTTTCAAAATGTTAGTTATTATTTATGTCATTCATGGAATGTTGGTGAACGTTTGTGTTACACACTTTTTCAAATGTTACAACTTGTTCAGAGAACATTTAAAAGTAACGTTCCCAAATGGAATGTTTCCTTAATGTTCACATAACCAAGAAAAAAGTTTTTACGTAAAAAAACTGGAGGCTTTGGACGTTACATTAAGAAATAATGTTTTCAAAACTGGGAATGTCAGCAATACGTGATAAACATATTTTTGTTAGCTGGGCACATCGTTTCAGATCAGCTGTACAGGATCTGCATTATATTATTCACTTCTAAAATGTCAGACAGGATTTTATTTTAGGATTTGGTTAACTCTGGAACCAAAGTTGGTTATGGTATAACAAAAAACTGTTGTGTAATAATTTTTTGCTAGCTTCCTCTTGACTTCAAACACAAACACATGTGCTCTTCAAATCCCACCTACTAAAGACACATCAGCCAATCCGATGTCAGATGAGCCAAATATACACAATGACTGACAGGTGAAGAAACTCTGTAAAGTAGTTTCTGATGAGCTCATGATGAGTGACGCTTGCCCTTTGCTGGTGGATCTGAGCATCAAACACACTTCCACGATTCACTCACGATAAAGCGTGCAATAACAGCCAAAGATCTCGTGAACTTCACAGGAGAGCACATGAACTGTGTGTGTGTGTGTGTGTACTGGTTTATATATTCTGGTGGGGACTTGAACCTGAATACACACAGACTCATGGGGACTAAATTGTGGTCCCCACGGGTAAACAAGCTAATAAATCACACAGAATTACGTTTTTTGAAAATCTAAACATGCAGAAAGTCTCCTGTGAGGGGTAGGTTTAGGGGTAGGGTTGGTGTAGGGCAATAGAATATACGGTCTGTACAGTATAAAAACCATTACGCCTATGGAGAGTCCCCACAAGGATAGCTGACCAGACGTGTGTGTGTGTGTGTGAGTGTGTGTGTGCTGCAACAGCTCTGACCACAAAAAGGATCCGTGGATTTACTGCAATAGCTCTGAACATCTGAACACCACAGATGAGTGTTAATGTAATGAGCTACACTCCAGTGTTTTAGTCAAGACCAATACAAGACCTGGCACTATACATATACAGAGCTGTTACCAATCAAATGAACCAATAAATTCATCTTTGCACTGCAGAGGTGGAACAGAAGTTGCATACAAATTTGTACAATTACAACTGCGTGAATAATATTGTGAGATGAATGTTGTATATATACAATTTTGAATATAGAAATGTGATTTTAAAAAATGATACTTTTAAATATAAAAAAAACTAAATCCATCTTCAATAAAATCCCAAGTACTCTTTGTCTGCGGCCTGGCCAAGACTGAAGCCTTCAAAGACTGGACTACACTCACAAATGAAAATATAATAAATAAAAAATACATCTGTCCATCAGAGAGCATCAGTTCACCATCCACTGACCAGATGAACACGATGCTCCTCATGGAAATCTAAACATGCAGAAAGTCTCCTGTGAGGGGTAGGTTTAGGGGTAGGGTTGGTGTAGGGCAATAGAATATACGGTCTGTACAGTATAAAAACCATTACGCCTATGGAGAGTCCCCACAAGGATAGCTGACCAGACGTGTGTGTGTGTGTGTGTGTGAGTGTGTGTGTGCTCAAACAGCTCTGACCACAAAAAGGATCCGTGGATTTACTGCAATAGCTCTGAACAGGAAGTGACCACAGATGAGTGTTAATGTAATGAGCTACACTCCAGTGTTTTAGTCAAGACCAATACAAGACCTGGCACTATACATATACAGAGCTGTTACCAATCAAATGAACCAATAAATTCATCTTTGCACTGCAGAGGTGGAACAGAAGTTGCATACAAATTTGTACAATTACAACTGCGTGAATAATATTGTGAGATGAATGTTGTATATATACAATTTTGAATATAGAAATGTGATTTTAAAAAATGATACTTTTAAATATAAAAAAAACTAAATCCATCTTCAATAAAATCCCAAGTACTCTTTGTCTGCGGCCTGGCCAAGACTGAAGCCTTCAAAGACTGGACTACACTCACAAATGAAAATATAATAAATAAAAAATACATCTGTCCATCAGAGAGCATCAGTTCACCATCCACTGACCAGATGAACACGATGCTCCTCATGGACTCAGGCTGATGTTCTTGAGATGATCTCAGCGACAGTGATACTGCTTGTGTTACTGCTTAAATCAACATCATAAACATGATTCAGCTTCCCTGGACCTCCATGAAGCCACCGGCAGATGTCACACGCTGAGGTTCTGATGGAGGAAGTGAAAGCGATGAGGTCATTTCACGTTTCCCTTTTTAAATGTTGCTGTTGCGTGAATAAAGACCAGAGCACAGGGCTTTTATCCTTACTTCAGACGCTAGAAGATTCTATTCCTGTTTGATTCTGCAATCAATCTTTAGTGGCACAGATTCATCTACCTCTAAAACTCTGAGATCACGTTTCAGAATTTTAAAATAACACACACACACATACACACACACACACAAAGATACACACACACATTCACACTCTCTCACACACACACATTCACACACACACACACACACACTCTCACACACACACACACACACTCTCACACACACACACACACACTCTCACACACACACACACACACTCACACACACACACACACACACAAAGATACACACACACATTCACACTCTCTCACACACACACATTCACACACACACACAAACACACACTCACAAACACACATTCACACTCTCACACACACACACAAACACACACTCACAAACTCACACACACACACACACAAACACACACACACACACACACAAACACACACACACACACACACAAACACACACACACACACACACACACACACACACACACTACTGTTCCAAATATGGGGTCGGTATTATATTTTACTGTCTCTTTCTGCTCAGCAAGGCTGCATTTATTTGATCAAAAATACAGTAAAAACAGTGAAATATTATTACAACTTAAAACAGCTGTTTTAAGTTGTAATAATATTTCACTGTTGTTAGTGTATTTTTGATCAAATAAATGCAGTAAAAACAGTGAAATATTATTACAACTTAAAACAGCTGTTTTAAGTTGTAATAATATTTCACTGTTGTTAGTGTATTTTTGATCAAATAAATGCAGTAAAAACAGTGAAATATTATTACAACTTAAAACAGCTGTTTTAAGTTGTAATAATATTTCACTGTTTTTACTGCATTTATTTGATCAAAAATACAGTAAAAACAGTGAAATATTATTACAACTTAAAACAGCTGTTTTCTATGTGAATATCTGTTAAACTGTTTTCAGCATCATTACTCCAGTCTTCAGTGTCACGTGATCTTCAGAAATCAGTATAATATGCTGATCTGCTGCTCAAGAAACATTTCTGATTATTATCAATGTTGAAAACAGTTGTGCTGCACAATATTTTTGTGGAAACCGTGATACATTTGATTTTTGCAGGATTCACAGATGAATAGAAAGTTCAAAAGAACAGCATTTTTAAAAAAATAGAAACCTGTAACATTATAAATGTCTTCACTGGCACTTTTGATCAATTTGATGCATACTTGATCAATAGAAGTGTTCATTTCTTTAAAAAAAAAAAGACTGACCCTAAACTTTTGAACAATTATCGGTGTGCGTGTGTGCGCGTGCATGCGTGTGTGAGTGAGTGAGTGAGTGAGTGTGTGTGTGTGTG